CTTGATCTATGTGAGGATGACGTGTCTGATGATATAACAGTGGTGGGCACAAGAAATGCAGGTTGTGAGGGCGTTGGAAGAGTGGTTGAGTTATCATTAAGTATGTGTACAACTGAACCCATGGTTGGTCTGTAAGCAACATTTTCTTGAACACATAGCAATCCAAGGTGGATGCAGATAGTCATTTGATCAATCCTTGAATCATTCCTCAAAGTAGGATCTATGAGATTTGAAGCTGTCCCTTCCGTCCAATTTTTCCATGCCTGCATCACAATAAGATCCAGCTAATATTTGAACTATATATTATTCTTGACAAGAGAGAAACATAAGTTAGATTTTCATACTTACATGGCTTAGAAGTGCCTCGCCATCTCCAAACCAACCATTTCTCTTACCACTAACAATTTCCAACATTAACACCCCAAAACTATAAACATCTGATTTTACTGAAAATTGCCCGCATAATACGTATTCTGGAGCCATGTATCCACTACATGCATATCAATGTCAATGAGATCATTTTCAATCAAAAACTTAGTATTATGGGTTCAAAAGTTATGTTCTAGTATTATCTTAATGCAATACACAATAAAATCATTCTTGGTACTTCCATACTATCAATTTGGAACAAAGCAACTTGGATACTTATGTGTAGAAGAAAGAAATCAAATTTTTACTATTTTTGATACTTACAGAGTTCCCACAGGTTTACTGGTGTTGCCTTGTGTTTCATCTGTTGCAAATAACCTTGCTGTGCCAAAATCTGCAATTTTGGCATTCATATCTTCATCTAATAAAATGTTACTTGCTTTAAGATCACGATGAATAATTCGAACACGAGATTCCTCATGAAGGTAATTAAGGCCACGAGCAATGTCTACAATGATTTTGTAACACCTTTCCCAATCCAATTGCTCACGTTTGATTTGATCTATATATATGTTTATAGTTCATATGAGTATGTGATTAAATAAAACAAACAAGGACCTGTCAGCAGGATATTAATTTTGACGATGTTTTTGGCTCAAGAGACAACGAGGACATAAAGGTGCAACTCCTTGGAAGTATGCAAACTCAAAGGAAATTATTTTTTAGCAAAATTAAAATTTTAATTCAGAGAAAAAAGGAACAAGTAGCTACCAAATATAAATCGATCAAGGCTCAAATTTGGCACAAATTCATAGATAAGAAGTCTTTCATTTCCTTCCAGGCAGAAACCAATGAGTCTAACCAAATTGCGGTGTTGAAGCTTGGCCATTAAGAGAACTTCATTTTTAAATTCTGTATCTCCTTGTTTAGAGCTTCTAGAAAGCCTTTTTACAGCTACATCTTGTCCATTCGAAAGGCGACCCTGTATATAAAAACACAAATAAATTAAATGAGACTCTTATAAATAGAAACTTTCAAATATCTCTAAATGGGTAGTATTCTTTTTTGTTTCATAAGCTTCGTTACCTTGTAAACCGCTCCGAATCCTCCTTCTCCAAGCTTATTTTGTTCATTGAAGTTACTAGTTGCTGCCTGGACGGTGGCAAAGTTATATTGCAAAGACTCGGCCTCTATCATTTCCTCAATAGCTACCAAAGGCAACACATGGGGGTAAGATAATTATTAACATTAATTCACCGGTAGAAAGAATGGATTTCAAACAAATTATTACTTACTTTCAACAGTTTTCTCTGCCTTTCCTCTTCGTAAAAATATCCAAAGCACAAGCAACAGAATCCCAAGGAGTGAAGCAAATGTGGAAATGATGATTGTTGTAGTTGTGCTGTTTCCTTTTCCTTTAGAAGGCACTGCTGCTAGAAACAAAATTGAAAGAAATAAATTTCTTCAGGCACTAAATATAAATGTAAGAACTTCTCCAACAGTAGTCCAACTTGATTAATAAGATAGGGGAGCTTGTAAAACTGTCCCAATCTTTAAAACTGATCAAGTGCAAGTGGTAAAATATAGCTACCTTCTGGACTTGGAGGAGGTGGAGGTGGAGGTGGCTCAACGGTAACATCTACAGAATCCACAAATGGGTCAATCTCATATCTTAAGTTACAGCTGGGTTGCAGAATTCTGCATCCGGTTATATTATAGCAGTAATTTCTCATCTCTACCATGGCCTTCTCTAGACAAGCGCTGCAATTTTGTTGGGACAGATCCGGGGTACACTGCACTATGGCAAAAATTCTCTCAGGAATAACCGTCATGCCCGTTGCACACTTGAAATTAGGACCCCCGGCGGCCGCACGGCTGCTTAAATTTTTCAACAAGAAACTCCGGGTCTGGTTGAAAACATCAAGATCGGATGGCTTCGATTTATTATCATCTCTCCATAATTTATCAAAAGGATCGGTTTCCATAACTCCGTAAATATGTCTGTTTGAGTAGCGTAAAGTACAGAATTCCGACCACCCGATTGCTTCTGATTTGTTGGCACATTTTTGTTGGAGCGCTTCGGTGGTGTTTTTCAGGCAACTTCTGCAGATGTCCTGCTTTTTGTCTCCCCTGCAGAGTGCAATTGCGTTGACCTGGTCAGAGCTCTGGCCAACGGACACATTATAGAACCCCTGATTGAAATCCTGATCGACGAGTTTGGAGAAGAGAAGTTTGAGGTTGTCCTCGTAGGTACTGTTAGCGATGTTGCTGCTATCACAACTGTTCCGAAAATCAGCAGCAATTTCGGCGGAGGAAGTGAGATTTATGTGAAAAGCAGAGGAAATTAAGAACAGAAAGAGCATTGAAAATCGCATTTTTGCCTAAAAAAGTAGTAAATATATTTTACTCTGTTCAATTTCAGGCTAAATTTGGTAATGGGAGAAGAGGCAAATAAGCCCTTTAAATTAATTGGTATATGAAGGAAAAGTCGTGTAGTCTGGATCAGGTCATCCAATTCACACCATCCCGGAAATTTCCACAACGCAGTCCCACATTCGGAAATAAGCCCTCATTATGGTTTTTTACTTTTTTTCCCTTTCTTCTGTTTTTTAACGACTAAAATTTGTTTTTTAACGACAAAAGGTATGGAAGTTGACCTCATTATAGTTTTCTACATTTTTTTCCCCTGTGTTTTTTAATGACTACAATTTTTGGGACGACAAAATTGAACATCCAACATCGAGGTTGGAAAATTAAAATTTTACCAAATGACTTAAAAAGTCTGCTTTTATAGTTTTTTTTCTTTCTTTTAAGATTTATTTTAAAATGTACATTTAAGTACAACAATATTTTTTATCATAAATTTATAGAAAAAAACTTAAAATTTAATA